CACTTCAAGCATGACACAATCTTCATCAAGCAACATGCATTCTGCTCACATCACTCGCTCTCGTTCGAATCTTTTCACGTTGTGGGGAAACAGTACCGAGCACGGCTGGTTGGATCTCGATCCCTCCTGTAAGACCCAAGACTGTTGTTGAGTCTCGAAATGTCCTGTGAGACACAGGGCTCCTTTCCCCTTCGAGAGGAAAATACAGCTAACTCACGGCCTCTCACAGGTTCGGCCTAAGTGTGACGGCCTGAACAGGATATCCATGTGGTTCAGAACGACAGTTCAAGAAGTTTCTGGCTGTCTCTGAGAGCTTGACGAGGCAGCTTCACTCGGTTGCTCCAAGTCAGGTGCAGGGTTCACAAACTGCCACTGAGACTGACGAGCTGCAACAGCCTCCTGTTGCCGCATCTCACGGTCTGCCATGAGGTCGTCCAATACCTCAGCCACCTTCATGAGGGAATCCATATTCAAAGAGTGGAGCCACACCCGAAAATCATTTAGCTGATCGCGCGTCAACGACCGCGCCATGAAGAGTGCTGAGAAAAGTACAGCGGTGAAAAGAGCAATACTCGAGCCTTTATGCGTCAAGCAAACAAGCGGAACTGTCACCACATGAAGTAAGGCCCGCACTAACAAGGGTTCCTGATTGCACACGCTCATTGAGCTGCCTGGTCCCTTACCGGATACTTCGTATGCACACGAGTCCTCTCCTGACGTGGTTGCGAAAACGTTTACATTAGTTTACAAGGGCGGCGAGGGTGGGTTTTTCGAAAACGATCTATCAGCCTCTAAGAGCACTTTCCGGGCATCCTGCCCTCTGAGAGGTCCCGCTGCGACGGGTGTATAAGTAAATACAAATCCTGCACGAACAAGCATAAAACTGATTGAGCGGTGGAAATAAGTTGTGCAAAAAGGCAAGCACTGAAACAACAAGCAAATGTTTTGTTCACCACAACATTTTGATGTTGTTTCCTTTGAACAATAAAGCTCTATCTTCTCCAGGCATTCGAAGAACGATACTTATTGTTCAAAACCGTGCTTGTTATGAAATGTCATGTCGTGTTTGAACACTTCAAGCATGACACAATCTTCATCAAGCAACATGCATTCTGCTCACATCACTCGCTCTCGTTCGAATCTTTTCACGTTGTGGGGAAACAGTACCGAGCACGGCTGGTTGGATCTCGATCCCTCCTGTAAGACCCAAGACTGTTGTTGAGTCTCGAAATGTCCTGTGAGACACAGGGCTCCTTTCCCCATTCACCTGAGCCGTGTGTCAAACCTTCAGTTTCGAGGCCCTCTTCACAATCGCCGAAACGATCCTCCTCGCTTCATGCGATTCGTCCTTGAATCCTAACTTCCTAACCAAATCAAGTTGGAACCTTGAAGGTTGATCTGCAAGATTCGCTGGGGAGGCAACTCTTGCATACCACGGTAGAAATCCGTGAACATATTCCAGGAAGTTTGCTTCATCCACCAACATTCCAGCAACTCCTTTCTTAGCAGATCCCGAGATGTAGGCGTGTCGGGCCGCATCGTTGTCGAGGTAGACGATTACCCCAGTTAAAGCAGTCGCTCCATGCTGGGAATACGATTCAGCAAAGGCTGCAGTCTGGCCTGTTAGCAACTTCAAACCAACCAAAACCCCAAGCATTTCCAGCTCATAGATAATGGTTTGCTCTTCCTCCGTAGATAGCACTTGAGTTTGGATTTCCGAGATCGGAACACTGAAGAATGACAGTGCTGTCCCACTCCCCGTAAGGAGCACACCACCTAATCCACCAGACCTTGTCTCGGTTTCGAAGGCTGCATCGGTGAGTATCATAAACGATCTGCACGACACCTGTCCCACTAGCCTGGGCTGAGCAGCGTCTAAGAACTTGCAGAACTCTTCCAAAAGGTCTTTGGTGTATCCCGGAATTTTCCGCCTCCCACCATAGGCATGTCTCGTGATCTCAACCAGACACCTCCTGCCTAACCTTCCGAAGAACTGAGCTTGTGCAAACTGTAATCGGCCCCTCAGTTGCAAGGCCTCCTTCTGACCCATCAAACCATTCTCCAGGTGACCTCTGATGGCTGTGACCAACTCTCGACGCCTTCGTTCGGTGTTCTTAACTTTCAGGACCCCTGTCCCTGTTTGGTCCAGCTCAAACAAAACGCCCAAAGCTTCGAAACTTGTGCTCCACTCCGTAGTCTTGTCTGATGACAGCTTCCAACCCAACAGTTTCATGACCTCATCAAAGGTATACCCACATGAACTCCTGTCACCGCTCAATGCGAGGAGAACAAAGTCGTCAAAGTAATTCGTCGTAGGGATTCTGGCTCCTTTCACCAGGATCGTCCAAAGGGCTCTCGCAACCCTCAAGAAGAAGTATACTGCTTTCGTGGAACCAAAAGGCACCGCCAGTTGCTGGAACAATTTGGGCTTCCCCTCGACCGGGTCGTACACTGCTAAGTATGAAAATCTCAAACTTTCATCCGAAATGGCCAACTGTCGATAGGCGCTTTTAAGGTCAGCCGTCTTCCCGAAGAGTTCCAACAGTCCCTTTTTCCTGGCTGCCTTCGACAGCTTGGTAATTAGGAGTGCGATCTCATCAATTGAATGTGTAACAGGTTTCTCGGAGACGGTGACCGTGTCATTAATGAGACTGGAAGAATAGTTGTCAATAGGTCTGAGTTTGCCCCCCTGCATCAGAGGGAAACGGGAACTCACCAGACAATCTTTTGGGAGATGGCCAACGTCGTAAGGTCCTGCCAGATGACCCTTCTCGACCTCCTCTAACGTTTTCTCCCACAACAACGTGTCCATGTTTCTATCACCACTGGATATTGTCCTGGCGAAGATCTGTTCACACACCTGTTCGGACATGTCCACTAGTTGTTCAATGTCCATCCTGGCTGGCTTCAGCTTCGCATCCAAAACTCCCGTCACTGGGATAGGGCCTGTGAGAGTGGCTCCCTGAACGAGCTCCTGCACCACGCCCATATCATCGTACTGAATATTTTGAAGCATTTCTTGGAAGAGGAGGATACGTTTTGGTCCGAGGATCGCCCCTCGATGGGTAGACATGCCAGCCTTCAGCTGTGCTTCCTCTGGTTCCAGTTCTTTGGCTCTTCTAGCCCATTTCTCAAGGTAAACCTTTCTCTGGGATCTCACCGAGCCTGGACGGTGCACAAGTTGCTCGATCAACTTCTCTAACGGTTTGTTGCACTTAGATAGCTGATGATAAGGGTGTCCTAGCTTTGCTGCCTTTCCAATAAATTCAATCGGATCCCAAGGAATCCCCACTCGCAGCACTGAGGCACCATCCAGTCGCTGCATCTCCTGCTGAAGTTGCGGGCTCAAGTTCCCCCCTGTCTGAGTCCGTGACAGAAGCTGGGAATCTACCGGCAGGGTGGCCATCCCCGGCAACACTCGAACACCATCCGGAATCTGCCACTCCTGCTTGAGACGCTTGTGTCCTGAGAAAGGGTCCTCGGTCACTGTTCTAGGCAGCAGCACATAGACGACCACCTTCCATTCCGGCATGACCTCATTCAAATGCCCTCGAGGTTGGTGCATGGCCGACACTCGAATGGCTTTATTGGCCAAAGAAGGGTTTTGGCACAGAAGTTTTCTCGCTGTGACGCCAGCCGCGAAGACCTCAGCCAATGCAGTCGCAAAGCCTCGGGGGTAGGTCCCCGAAGAGGCCTCCGGTGTTGTCGACTTCCCTACCGGTTCTCGTCCTTCGCGCCTAACCGTGGTGATTTCAGGGAGGTTTGACATCACAAAACTCCGCTGCTGATTCGCAGGAATCCAGCATCCCCACTCCACTTCGATCCAATGGGGTGCCTGCTGAGCATCTGGAAGTTGGTTCAAATTATCCCAGAATGGGGACTTGCAAGAGCCTTCTACCACTAACGGCAGGTCTCTATCGAGGCATCCATTGATAACCGCGAAAACAAATGCCGCAGAGGTGGGGTCCAATGTGAACTTTGGTATGCAAATCAGCACCCCCGCAATCTTTCGTTTGTCCAACCAAGTAAGAACAGAATCACAAGCCGTCCGAGAGGACAGGTCCATTTGCAAAACAGGTGCCATAGCAGACTTGCCATAAGCAAAGTAACCCTGCGCAAGCAGAGCTGCTTTTCATAAAAGGATTTTCAAACCACCAAGAAAACTCTAAGAGGTCTTGAAAGGGAATTGCAAAGCTCAGCACTCACATGAAGGTGCAATCGCAAAGCAACGGATCCCACATGCCTGAAAGCTCGGATGCACTCTTTTTGTCGCATGGGGCGAAACGGATCTGGCGTCCGCCCCCTTCGGGGGCGTGGGTGAGGCGGGTGGGAGAGTAGCACGCACGCCAGCTACGGGCTACTGCCTACGGAGCTGTGGCTACAGCTTCTACGGATTCGATGTGAAACCAACGAGCCCAGCAGGGCCGAGACTGAAGAGTCTGTCAAGCAGGTCAAAGCACGGCAGTGCACACAACTGCTCATGGCACCCGGGCCAGAGCAGGGAGTGGTGGGTGGGTAAAATTTTCTCTGTGGCGCTCACACTTGAGCACTGCGTTGCAAGCCGGGATGGCAACCCGTTTAAGAAAATTTCTGCACATGAAGGAAAACACAAGTCAAGCAAAACGTGACCCACAAAACTGCATTGCACATCAATCACACTCACGCGCACAGGCAGTGATGCATTGTGCCCTCAAAGCTTGCACAGGTGACCAACGGCATATGTCCAAGAAAATCTCAGTTTGAAAACGCTCGTACCCTCGCTGTCCTAAAATGAAAAAGGGATCGTAGATGCGCTTGCTTTCTACTGGATCCCTTTTCATAAAAGGATTTTCAAACCACCAAGAAAACTCTAAGAGGTCTTGAAAGGGAATTGCAAAGCTCAGCACTCACATGAAGGTGCAATCGCAAAGCAACGGATCCCACATGCCTGAAAGCTCGGATGCACTCTTTTTGTCGCATGGGGCGAAACGGATCTGGCGTCCGCCCCCTTCACCCCACTTTCAAATTTTTCCAAGGGCGCCAAGATCCACAAGGTCAAAACCACTTATGGGACACGAGGGAGTGACCCTGCGACATTGAGCCTTATGCAGAAACTCGAAGGCAGCACGTGACGGCTCGTCTGCGACATTGCTTGGACTCGCCACACGGGCGAACCACGTCCAGGAAGGGGAAAGCTTCTCCGACTCCTCGAAAGAAAGGAGGATTTCCCGCACGTGAGGGTTGGCAGAGGTGCCCTTTATGTAGGAGTCTTGTGCCTGCACATTATCGATGAAAAACAAAGCGCGCTGCGAAGCAATGAACTGGTGCCAGACTCGCCTTGCCACGGCAACTGCATATGATTCAACCGGCCCGATAATGTGTCGCATCGTGGAGGTCCATTTGCTGATCAAGTGATCGGGAACAAGTGAACCAAAGCACGAATGCAGCCTACCTTGCACTACGAGGACCCCACCAATCGAGTGCACCTCACCCTCACTGGCGCCATCCGTAAAGACGTGCACAACATGGCTTGCCACTCCACAAGGCACCTGGCGAGGCTCACAAGCACGGAGACGCGCAATGAACAGACGCAGCGATTCCCGTGCTGCATCGTCCAAGACCAATTCATCGGAACAATGCCCCTTTGCCCACGAGCGAATGTCCGCCATGATCAAACGGCCCGACTTGCCAAGTATGTATGAATCAGTGTAGTGGAGCCGACCCATGAGACTGAGGTAACGCTTTCGAGAGATCACTCCCTCGCGCAGAAACTCTTCAAGAGACACGACGAGTTCCTCAGCACGACCAGGCTTGTTCCTTACGAGCACCAAACCCTCATCACACCTTGAACAATCAACCTCAACCCCCAACATGGTGGCAGCAGGCTGGAAGGGGCTAAGCTTGTCGTCAGCAAAGGCGAACCCGAGAAGGGAACACAAGGCAGTCATTGTACTCATGGTATTGTCTGAAATGGCACTCGGTGACATTGCAGGGAAGTCGTCGAAAAAGTTTCCCCATGGGATCAAAAGCTCAACCCCCAACCTCCACAACAACCTCGAGAGACGGTTGAAATGCAGCACCGAGGCCGCGCTGCCAAAAGGCAACGCCTTCGACTCGAAAAGGCCCGGCACCAGCGTATCAGGGTTAAGCAAAGCGATAACTGCCCAAGCTCGCGAGTCGGCCGACACTGCGAACTGCTTGTAGGCAGCTCGAAGATCAAGCGTGGTCAGAAGCGGCTGATGCCCTGCCTTCTTCCAACCAGGATGCACACGGCCCTTGAGCACAAGCCCCGAGGAAAGCACGAGCTCACAATCATGCCCCCCACACATGGCCCTTGCCCAAATGCGGCAGGTGCAGATAAGTTGATCAAGCGCATTCAAGTCCAGCTTATCCATAGAACCAAAGGCAAGATTCACCTTGTTCTCGGTGAAATCATCAACAGGCCGCAGCTTGCGCCCGGCAGCAGAAGTCTGCTCCACCCCGAAACGCCGAGTGGGCAACCAGCCAGAGGGATGCCTATCGTCCAGCTGCTGCGACGACAGAGGTCCCTCCAACATACCACTCTCCACCTCCTGCATCGTCTTTTCCCACAGCTCACGCGCATTGCGATCCACGGACGACGATTTCACCTTACCCAGTAGGGCTGGCCTAAGAAATTTTGTGGCAGCAAGAAAGTCATCCTTCGGAAGCTTCGGAGGCCTGGGCTCAAGCGCGAAAACTCCCGTGTGCTTTGCATGCCCCACCAAATCAAAGCCCTTCCTAAGCTCAGCGAAAACGCCCATGTCAACCCAGCCGATTGACGACGCAATCTTCTCAAGAAGCAGGAGCCTTTTGCCTTGCAACACCTTCGCAACCTCAGGGTCTAACGACTTGCGAAGGCCAGCTTCCTCGGCCTCAAGGTCGCGAGCCCACTGGGTCCACTTCTTGAGCAGCTTTGCCCTACGATCCACTACCCAAGCAGGCCCTTTGGTCAGCATGTCAAAAAGGCACCGTTTGAGCACATCAGGCGCAGCATGCAGCTGATCAAAGGGATGCTCAACGTTCAGGCATTCTTCCACAAATTCTTCGGGGGAAGCATACACACCACGGGCAAGAGAACTCCCTTCTGCTGCTGGCCATTGACCTGTCGAGAGACAGTGCCAGAGTCAGTGGCCACCCAAATTTCACCCCTCTCGAAACTCGACAAAGGAACCACCAAATTGGGCACACAAGAATTCTGCTGATCACGGTGGGGTTTAGTGCGAACCCCTTCAAAAACCACAACTGAAGTGAACTTATGCCCTGGGGCAGATTGGCGCACGAACGATGCAAAGACGCGGGACGCCTGAGGGAAAACAGCAACATTCGTACGCAACCCAACCTTGACCCGAGCGAACGCTCCGGTAGCAAAGGCCTTGCCCTCAGTTCCACGCTGGGGCGCGGCCATTGGCAACATCTCAAAAAGCTGCAAAACATCGCTCGCCTCAAGCCACGGCTTCTTGAGCAGCTGAGACGCAAAAGCTTCGGGGTTGCTGGAAAGCGGCTGAGGCGGAACTGAGGCCGAGCACGGGACATGTTTCGGTGATGACTCCCCTTCAGGGATCTCATCATCGGAAGAAGAGAGCACAAGCTCCTCACCAAGCTGTGCTACATCTTTGTCATCAGTCACGTGGACCTGCGCCTCAGAGCCTAGTCACTCCCTCTTATGCTTGGGGCAATTTGTATAGACATGATCCCGCTTGAAGCAACCTTTGATGCAACAAATGTGAAGACCACGATCGCACTTGCCACTAGTGACGGTACGCTGACACCGCCCCAAGTTGTGGTCGAAGCAGATGGGCAAGCCCCGGGTGGTGACCGGCACCCCATCGGACAGCTCAGCAGGCATACGAACATTTCCCTTGCCTTTACCTTTCCCTTTACCCCTACCGCGACCCTTCAAACCCCTGCGGTCATCATAGGGCCCAGGCCGTGGATGCAAAGGAGCTGGCGGAGGCAAGGGCAAGGGTTGCAGCAGGTGAGTGACATTGTTGCAAGACATGGCGTCACTCCAAATGCGATCGACCGGTCGTCCGGAAGCCACCACCTGAATCCCCTGGCGGGTCCGATCAGCTGCTTCAACAAAAACCTGCCTGTCCGCCTGGATGAGTTGCTGGAGCGTGACACGGGCATACTGGTCGGGCGGATCCCGAAATCGAGCCTGAAACAACGCCTCAGACCAACGCTCATGCTCCGCAAAGCTCAGAATGCCAGCTTGGTCCAGCGCAAGCCCACGACGTGTAAGTGCATGCTTAAGCAAAAGGTCAGTGGACACATCGGCCTCCACTTTCACGGCTTGCGACCTAAGAGACACGTGCCCCGTGCCATCCACAGCAAGCATCTTGTCATCCCGGTCCTTCTTGAACTTCACTTCATCATCCCGGCAGGGACAAGACTGCAAAGGTAGGTATGAAAGAGAATTATCCTCATACATCTGAACACAACGATCGATGACCGAATGACCCGGGAGAGTAGGGCCATGGATGTTCAAGCCAGCAAGCCTGACTTGTTGCCGCTGAAGCCTATCGGCTCGATCGGGAGCCGCCAACCGCCTCGGAGCAGAATCTTCCGTTCGTTCAACCTGCACCTGAAGCTCTGAGACAGTGAGGTTGTAGCTCTCATGAAGAAGCCTGCGCAGCACGCTCAACTCTGCCACATTAGCAGCGCGCCCCAACACACCAGCAACTGCATCGGTAAAAGGGGACTCGTCAGTGTTGCCGGGCACGAACGCACTAATGAAGGCAAATTTGCTCATGCAATCAATGCCAGCATCAGTGAACTTCTTCAAAACGTCAGCGGCCAACCCCAAGGCCGTCGCCCTGGAAGAAAAGTTTGCCTTGCTCTCGGTGATGGCCATGGCGAATGGTCCTGCAAGTGCACTACACGATCCTTCAGCCAAAACTGTATGCTCAAGTTTACACTCACAACCACAAGGCATTGTCGTATGCAAATCGCAACATTCACGGAACCACAGCACCGTACAGCCACATTTTCAAGTCATGGTTGACTTCCATCCAAAACCGCGTGCCCCGGTTAACCTGAGCACTTTCAGCTCGCCGAGTGGACCGGCACACCAAAGCACCGCGAGCACCGGTGCAACTGCTCACATAATCAAACTTCACCGCGAGGAACGGTGAGTGCATAGCCGAGTCTATCCGGCTGCGTCACAAAGACACGACCCATGCGCCGAGTGATCCGGCTGCCCCTCAGTTGAGCCGGGCTCACTTGAAACAATTCAAGCACATGTCAGCCATAAACCTTGGTTTCTCACTGAGCCTCTCGAACTTTCGCGTGCACGCCTTTCCGCACTTCAGCCGATTCCCACTCTCGTCAGCGAGGCGGTGCAACTTCCTTGAAGTTATATGGCGAACATAAACCAGAGCATCAGGATCCTGAACCACAAGTTCAGCCCAAGGCGGCACAACCTGATCAGCGGCCGCTTCCTCTGCTCTCAAGTCTTGCACGTTGTCCTCTTCATCGAGCGAAACTTCGGATTCCGATGGCTCCTCAACGAACTCAGGCCCAGGCTCCCTCTGCGGCTGGGTCGGGAAGTAACCCGACCGCGTGACATCCGGCAAAAACAGGCCTTGTCTGATGTCCTGGATGACAGCCTCCAGCGACCTCAGGGCTGGAGACACATTGTCACGCCCATAAACGTGCATCATCTCATCCTGCGGAGCCTTGTGATAACCCAAAACACGCCGATGCAGAGGATCAACTCCGTGCTTCGACAGCCAAGAAAGACACGTGCATTTGCAGCTGTGAGTCCCGAGCTTGCGTGCCTCAGGGAAGCCACGAGAAATAAGAATCCCCCGGAGCCATGCAGCGGCCACCGTAGCTGAAGGGGGGACCGGAGCCCAACCCCCTTCTAGCCCTCGACTCGGCAGCAAAGGAAAGTCCTCGCCTTCAGGGATGCCCATGTCCTCGCGGAGACCTAACCAAGTCTTGAACCAAGGAACTGCAGTCAGGCCGAAAAGTGGCCCTACCATCGGGAGCAGAGCCGTCTTCCTTTCCAGCGAGAAACTCGTCTTTGTCCTTGAAGCTTCCCCTTGAAAATATCCTGTCAAGCGGCCAGCAAAACCTTCAGGCTCATCGATTGCAAGATTCTTCAGACCTTGGGCATCGCTATACCTTGCTCGAAGGAAAACACAAACGAGGAAGAACCCCGCACACAGCCTGTCGATATCTCCTTCACGTTCGGAGATCACCAATCTCTCAAGGGCCTTCACCATGTCAACGGTGAGGGGTGGCTTCTGCCGTCGCTTCCTTTTGTTCAGGAACATCGAACGAGCCAAGCCCCCAAACCGACCACTGCTCAGAACATCAGAAACATTCTCAACGCCCAGCACAAATTTGCAAAATGCAAGTGCAGACATCAGCGCCTTTCCGAATGACGGCGCACAAGTGCTCTCGGATTCAAGCAGAAAATCATACAAAAGCGCCTCGCTGAAGGGTAAGGGCTTGCACTGGCGAGCCTTGGCCCAGGCAACAAACCTGATGAGAGGCCCAGCACGGCTGTGCAAGGTACCTGCTGATTTGCCGGAAAAAGTGTGCAGAAGGCCCTGAGAAATCGCCTCGTCATTTCCCACGAAAGCAGCACACCGCCTACCGACGTCAAAAGACAAAGGATCCTCAACCACTAAAGCAACCCACTTTTGTATGGCAGCACTAAGCCTCCTCTCAAGGTGAGCACCCCAAGAATCGTCCAAACGGACCCGGGAAATCGCAATCTTCGTGACTGCAGCAACGGTTGGCGTCACTGGAATAAAATCACAGGCACAAGAGACGGCACTGGTGGGAACATGCCTCGTGACCTAACCACACCGGTAAAGAGCACTGAAGAAGGCCTCAACCGAAAATCCCAAGACCGAGAATAGCCCGTCTTATTAACCTTGCGAGTGCAGGCAGCCAAATGAGCCTCATAATCCTGAACAGGCACCTCTGCCTGCCTCCGCCGGTCGCTGTCCTCAGGCACACGAAGGGACCCAGTACCCAAACCCCCAGCTAGCAAATCTTCTGGGGCACGAGGGGGCTGAGCCATGTGGATAAAGGGCACTAAACAGACAGCTGGAGAAGCTGTCGGGCGCACGCGTGCGGCCCGCGGCCGGAGCAAGCAAGTGCAAGCCAACTGGAAGGCTGGAGCCAGAGGAGCACGCGGGCCCCTTCCCTGGAACTGAGAAGCACTCCGCAAAGAGAACCCTCAAGAACGTACGTGAAGAGACTAGGGGGGGCCTCCAGGCTGCGCTCGAGTGATGCAAGGTGGAACGAGCGAGGCCTGATGCTGAGCGCCTGAAAGGCAGGCGCCTGAACGACAGGCACGGGTGGCCAGTCCCCGCTGAGGGAACTCTCCTCTGAACTCGAGGTGCTGTCCATCCACCGAGAGCACACAGGCCCCCGGCTTGCACGACCCCTAAGGGGAGACCACTAGCACCTCGAACCTCTAGCACGGCACCCTTACGGGAGTAGCGGAGGCTCAACACTCCTAAAATTTTCTCTGTGGCGCTCACACTTGAGCACTGCGTTGCAAGCCGGGATGGCAACCCGTTTAAGAAAATTTCTGCACATGAAGGAAAACACAAGTCAAGCAAAACGTGACCCACAAAACTGCATTGCACATCAATCACACTCACGTGCACAGGCAGTGATGCATTGTGCCCTCAAAGCTTGCACAGGTGACCAACGGCATATGTCCAAGAAAATCTCAGTTTGAAAACGCTCGTACCCTCGCTGTCCTAAAATGAAAAAGGGATCGTAGATGCGCTTGCTTTCTACTGGATCCCAGCCACACGGGCCTGCCCAGCAAAACATTGAAGGATCGCACGGGTAGGTCCCCCGTGCTGTTCGTTCGAGAAAAATTGTTGCGGCTGTGTAGCCGGAGAACACTGCTCACTCCGAGAGGATGTCTCCTCGCCGGTCTGGAAAACTGGCAGTGTTGGGGCCGACAGCACCGAAGCCTTCGAAAAAGAACATTCAACCTCACGCTCAAAACTTTCGGCAACCCCAACTGCAGATACGGGGTCCAATCCCGCACCTGAAGGTAAGGCCTCCATACCGACCTCCTGGGTCGAAGCAGAGATGACACCACTAACGGATTCATCCTGAGGAACCATCTCAACATCCTGAGCCATCGAAGTCTCGTCAAGACCAGGATCCCCGAGTCACAGCTTCTTAGGTTTCAACGGGCACTTGGTAACCGGGTGGTCGCCACCACACTTGTAGATGATGCACCCATGATCACCCTTCTGACAATTAGCATCGGTGCACCCGCTGAGGTTGAACCCGTAGCAGACCTTGTTGCCCTTCTTGTTCCATGCGGACGCTCCCTGGTAACGCAGGCCCTCGGGTAGCCATTCCGACTTGCCAGCCCCGTAACCTTTCCCTATGCCAGCCTTCTCCTTGCCCTTCGGCGAGGGTTTGCCCTTCCCGGGCCATGACTCGAAACCCCTAGGGCTCCAAAAAGACTTCCCTTTGCCCGGCTTGCCCTTATTTGGAGCATTCTCATACGGATGACTACGATTGCCTTTTCCCAATCGCAACTTTCCTCCGCCTTCAAAATCCCCCAAAGGAAGGAGCGCAACGATCAAATCGTAATCCTGCAGCACCGAAGATATCCTGGCATCCAAAGGCAAAGTTCCCGATGCGTCTGCACGCACCTCCGCTCCTGCCTCGGCCATCTTTGCGAATGCCAACTTGTCAGCTCGCAGGATCTGCCTCAAGGAAACCTTACGATAACCTTGTTGAGCTGGTTTGGTGAGGTACTTGAAAAGCGAGGAGACGTAGGCCTCATGCTTGTCCCAACTAATCAACCTGGCGAATGCATATGCAACTCCACGCCGTCTAAGGGCGTTTAGCACCTGGAGAGATCCCTCGATATCACGATCTTCCATGCCAGAGGACTCCGTAACTTTGAGTTTGCCCCCTTCGAGAGAGAGGCTGGTGGTCAACGGCTTCAAGTTCTGAACTTCCTCCTCGCGGCTGTGGCATTTTTCCGGGCCAATGTACTTAAGGCATCGATTCTCCCACTGCTGAACGGTCATGTCCAACAAGGCATGACTAGGCTCCAACTGTCCAGTCAAGGAAATCCCCGAAAGCTGAGTGCGCAACTGGTCCATGCGTGCATTTCGCTCAGCGAGCCCCACCTTCTTAGGTGAAACCCCTTCGGATGGTTCCGCCATGTCCTTGAGGGAGGCTACCAACATCGTCTGGGCCTCAAGAATCACCCGTCTCAGTGATGCCTTTTCGCCCACCGTAAGGTCCGCCAATACTGATGTACTCCATGTGTCGAAGTCGGATTGAGCCAGGAGTTGCCCCGGCTGGCCCACGCAAAAAGCTAGCTGAGCCAAGGCTTTGACCCCTTTGGCAGTCAGCGCGTCAACGACCCGCTTGGTTAACAAAATCTCCTCTGCTCTCTGAAGGAAGTAAGGGGCCGAGTCCACTGAACTTGTCATGGCCGCTACAAGCTGTACGAGCCAAACAAACACTCGCAAACAGAGACCTCACACCCGAGTCTGCGAGCTGGCATGACGGCAAACTCACCCTGCTATTTTCCAACTACGCTCGTGCTCACCACCTCTCCATTAGGGGAAAGTGGCTCTAAGAGAAACATTTAGAACACTGAGGGTAAGCATGTGCCCTGACCATAGGGACGCGGCGGTAGTGATCTCCAAAAGCTCTACCGCACAAAAACAAAGCAGACCCAAGTGTGGTTCTGTGCAAGACCTGACTTGTAGGGTGAGCCCAGTACGAGGGGCTCTCCGAATTATCCTCCTCCGAATCAGAAGCATCTGAAACTACAGCCAAGGCAGCGTCCTGATCGTCGGGCGCGTCCCCCTGACTGGTTTCATCATCTCCAGGTGCAACCGCCGCGGACTCCATGATCTTTTGACGGTTCCAGCCTTGAGCAAAGTGGCCGCTCCTAGTTTGGTCAGGAAAAAATTTGCCTGACGCAACCGCTTCCAGGATAATGATGTACTCGCGCAACGCAGCACTCTGCAGCTCCCGACCGTACACCGCGTCTGATCCTGTAGCAGCGTCAGCGTGATGACCAAGAACGCGCTTAGTCTCCCTCAGCATGCCGAATTTAGAGCACCACACGAGGGTGGTCGCCTTGAGAGAATGACTAGACAATGGCTTTTCTGAATCAGGACGAGGGAGTAGAAAACGCAGCCAGCGGGTCACTTCACTAGATGACAGGGGGTCCGAAGACCAACTACCATCAGGCCGAGGGGCCGGCAGGAAAGGGACATCAATCCCATCATTCTGCAACCCAGCTTCATCTCTCAACTCCAGCAGCAGTTGTCCCAACGGGACTTTAGCAATACCAATTCCCGGAATCACCAAGGGAAGGATTCGGCGTTGCTGAGCATCGAGTCGTGAAGTTTTGTGGTGGAGGGTGCCTAGCTCAATGAACCCGTGACTCCAATCCGAGCCACTCTTGTCAATGATCAAAGGTTGAATACAACGGACATCAGAGGCTCTAGCTCTGCCGTAAAGCATGGCCAGAAAATGAACTGCACCACATCTATCGATAAGGGAGATGCCCTCATCCTGAGCAATTGCATGAAGCTGCAACACCTCTTGTACCTGCAGAGGGGGAGCCGGGTCCCACGGACTCTTGTTGGCCAGAGCTTTAGCCACCAGTCCGTTAACACGTGCACTCTGAAAAACCTCAAGACGTACCCGCAATCCCAGGGCATGATAACTCCACCTGATGGCTTTCAGACACGTATCCAAAGTGGATGCAGCCGTTCGGGGCATCTTCAAGACACAATTGACAAAAGACCAAACGGCCTTTTCAGGAAGAAAAGGAGGAAGGTTCCCTGACTTCACAACACACTAGGGGCAAACACACACACCCCTACATTCACACACTTTTCCTTCTCAAGTTGAGCCTGACGGTGTGTACTGTCTCTTCAAAGCACCAAAGGAAAACACTGCTCTTGAGGTGTTTCAGGGTAACTGCAAAAGTTGTCACCCCCCTCAGACGTGGTAGCCTTCAAAGCTTACCATGTCTGGACTGCAAAAGAGGATCCTGGTGACCCTTTCGCAAAGTGCTCGCACGTGTGCGCAAGGCCTTTGCAACTTTTCCTCAAACCTAAAACCTTCGTTCGAAGGTTTCTCAAAAGTCGCAAGAGCTTCACTCCTGCTCCCTGTTGCAAGTTTCTACCTACTGTAGTGGACCAACAGGTTTAGTCCAAAGGCTTGTCACTCAGCTGTACACATCCTAAACCCATCCTAAACCCTCTTCGAAGGTTTATATGCATTTCGTATGCATCTTTTTCACTCTTCTCATCTTCCATGCTCAAAACTGTCCAACTCTGCAGGAAAAAACCATGCGTTTCAGCCCAAACTCTCAAACGCGCACGTCTGGAAACGCAGGCGCAGCTACAATTGGTGTCCTTCTTCTTTGCGCTCCACCGTCACGCGAACTTTCACGACCGCTGTCTCATCCAACAGAGATTTTGACGAACTTGAGCTGCTGTACTCTTGACCCCAACGTGGCTGCACAAAACCCCCCTATGATCATGACAATGAAAATGCTGATCACAAAGAGCACAATCGTTGCATTGTTCTCGGACTGCTCACCAATCCCGGAGCCCATTGCTACAGGAGCTAAATAGCTAGCAAGCAGAACTCTCAAGATGTTGTTTTGCTGGCCTTGCTTGATCGCTGCAGAGACTAAGTACTCCTTCACTTCCTTCCCCCCTGCCAAAATGCCCGTCTCGTTGTCAACGTACCCCATCAAGCCCAGGAGGAAAAGGATTCGCTTCTTTGAATGAGGTTTTGTCCCCAGATCCGACGGACATGCGTACGTAGAAATTGGTCTTGTCAAAACGTGCCCCGAACGATTCTCTTTCTGAAGCCACAAATAAGACAAGTCTATGTGTCTCAGCTTGCCGGCTCCTTCTCGTGCTGCCAGCGCCCGAGCCCCGGAGTTGTCCACTCTGTGCACTAGCTTCACCTCGGATTCAAGGAATGTTTCAAGGAATTGCTTGACAAAGATGCCGTCTGCGACTCCCAACAACGAAGACATCCACTCAG